CTGAACTAGCACTAAAGACCACAATGTGGTCCTAGGCTTCTAAAAGAACATAGAGTAGCTCGACTTCAGTTTGCACATCAATCAATGGATGAACACATGAATACCTTCGAAGGAATATTGATAAATTACAGCCGCCAAATTGTTTTTAACAGTAGTAAATTTCTCAAATCCTATAGAACACGTACTTATAAGATATCATGTAAAAAATATTAATTCTACTTCCAGCTCACCACAGACTCCTAAAATCTACAACAGTCAGCACAGACCGCCTGGACAATATTCAATCAACAAAACATCAAGGCATACCAGATCGATACTAATAGTTAATAATAATAAAAAAACAATAATCTTTTAAAAATAGATATTAAAAGTTTTCTTTTCCTTTAAAATGACTGTGTAAATAATTTTAAGAAGAGAGAAACTTACAAAATTCTTCTTAAAGTTTTTTCATTAAAAACTTCAATAAAACTTTAAATAAATGTTAACTATTTAATAATTCATAAGTAACCAAGCTATTATGCCACAGTGAATGTAGAATATTGTTATGAAATAGTTTTGTATTATAACTTAGTACATATTATATAATATGATTATGTTAATTATTGTAACCCTGAGAAGGAACAAAATTTAAATGAGTGTTTATTTTATTTTGTTTTTTATATCTAAAAGTCTAACAAACTTCAAATGATGTGGTCATCCTAAGTTTCCGTATCCGTAATTACTTATATTACGGACCGATTGCAGATGCAATACTTTTTGCTACAAACCTAATTAGCACTTAAATGCGCGTTGAAAGCTCGTAGCTGCTCAACTTGTCTCCACAATTCACTTAAGCTATGTTAGTGTATATATTTTATATCTGCACGACTGTGAATAAAAATACTTTGTAACTATAAATATTTATAAACGTATTAATATTTAATATATGATAATAATACTATTGGACTAATGTTTATGTATGTATTTAAAAATAATTTAACAAAGTTTTTGCTATAAGATTGTATTAAAACTAGCAAGCGGCCACGGCTCCACTTAGCCCTCAAAGAAATTGGGATTCAGCTCACACTAGAACATATATAGTATAGAATATTAACTACATTTACTTTGTAGTTAATACTGTAGACTGCATTTTTTTAAAATAACGGAAACTGAAACTTATTTATTAATGAACGAGTAAAATTAAATATATTATTTTAAAATCAAGAACAGAAATTACCTTAAATTATTTGTTGTTGTTGCCTTCATTGAAAATATATACACATCTGTACATTAAATATTTTTTGGAAAATCTTATTGAAATAGTCATTATTATCGATACAGAGGCCGAATTTATAGTTTTTAGAATTTTTGTCTTTCTGTCTGTCCGTACGACCGTCCGTCCGTCTGTCCATTCATCCATCTGTCCATCCGTTTATCTGTCTGTCTGGTAACGCATCACGAGAAAACCCCTGGACAGGTTTTGATGAAATTTGGTATGACGTTAGCTTCCAGGTCAAACTTTTTATAATGCGGGAAAATATCTTATCTCTGTGAAATCCACGTAAATAAACGAGAGTGAGTCGCTAGTTTAAAATAAGAAGCGAGTACCTGTCTTTTGTAGATTATTTAAATTTTTATGACGAACAACCAAGTTGGTAGAGTAAGTAATAAGAAAATTGCGTAAAATATTCCGTATAAAATTACAAAGTTAATAAAGTTTACTATATTTTGGTTTTAAATATACATGTGTAATAATTAATATTATTGGTATTAGCTATAAATTGCGTTTATAGTACATATGTCCTCTTTTTATTCTAGCTTTGGTGATTTTAGATTATTGCAAAACTCAATTTTATGCATCAAAATAATATCGTAGGAACGTTAAATCAGAGATTAGCTATTATATACGTAGTTGATACGTTAGTTATTAACATTACAATAAAGCTCAAATATACTTTTTAGGGTTCCGTACCTCAAAAAGAAAAAAGAAACCCTTATAGGATCACTTCGTTGTTCGTCTGTCTGTCTGTCTGTCTGTCAAGAACAGAAGTTTGTCAAGAACGCGTGGAGGTATCAAGTTGAAATTAATATCAAATACTCAGGTCTGTATCTCTTGTAGCTGTGAAAAAATCAAACTTCTAAGTTAATCAAAAGATACTCTACGGTCGTTTATGTCGCATATTTTGACACTCGCAAGAGAATCGAAACCTATAGGATACTTCCCGTTGACCTAAAATCATGGAATTTAGCAAGAATCAATGTCTTATAGCACAAGTAAAGGGAAAAATACGAAACCCGTTTTGTGGTTGATATTAACTAATATGGTTTTTTTTACATTTTTTTGCGATTGTAAACCCATTTAAATATTTCATGCTACGCAGTTTTCAGTCAGACTCGCACTTATCGATATCTTTTTTAATAACTAAGTATATTTGAGATTAGCTAACAACGTACATAAGACCAACGTTACAAGGAAACGTAACTCCAGTGCATTGTGAATATCTCAGGTAGAGCTCTCTCTACACGTCTACGTAACTTTTGGTAACATAAAGCCCTTATAAATGAAAATATAAATAGCCATATCAAGTAATAAATTTGTTTATTATACAATAAAATAATACAACTCGTCGTGCTGGGTGGTCCACAGAGCGGCACAAAAAGCGGGCAAGATGGTCGGCAACCCGTTACCATAGAGACGTGACGCGTCCTCTCAGTTGCACATCATTAATTGTAACGACATTAATTTTGGAACTTAATTTTAAACAGGCCGAATGAAATTTAAGCAATTGTAGACATAACTTATTTCAGAGTGCACTTATTGCATACTTTAATCAAGTAAGAAGTAGCAGAATTGGGTTAAAGAATAACTTTTTAACAGTGTGTTTTTTGGCGTCAGTACTTATTAAATAAATAGAATTAAAAAAAAGATATGTATATTTGTTGTAATGAATTCGGAAAGTCAAAAAAAATCGAAGTAAATCCGCGTAAAATCCCGAAAACCGAAAACCCGTGAAAAAATATATTAAAAGTTCACGTAAGGAAGTCACATTTTTATTATTTCGTATCTATTTGGGTATGAGTAGCTAGTAAATACCGCGTGTATTTCTATTTAGCCCACAACTCCTGCTTACGAACTGATTATTATGAATTATAAATTATCTTTGTTAATGTTATGCGATACACTATTGAAAAATTATTATATTTTGGCTAGCTAACTAGCTAGCTATATGTAGGTACCTTTAATTTTTTTATCCATTTTAATTTTTTTGTGGAACCTAATTCTTTTTCTAAAATAAAAGTAGCCTATGTAACTCCTTATAACATCAGCTATCTTCCAATGAAAGTCCCGTTAAAATCATTCCAGCCGTTTTAGAGATTATCCAGAACAAACAGACAGACAAAAATTTTAAAAATTGTGTTTTTCTTATAAGTACTGTATATAATTTCATATGCATTTAGTACAACGCTGTTATTATTACAAACAGACAGATCAATTTTATTTATGTGTAATATATAGATATTTTGTATAATTTTTTCATAATTATAATATATATATTTATAGTATGTATGTATTTAAACTTATATATGTGTAGTATATCAACTATCTGGTATCCATAACACAAGCCTCGTAGCTTACCGTGGAACTAGATGGTGCTGTGTGTTAACGTCCCAACGTATTTATTTATTTACTTTATTTTATTTTGTGAAGTTAGCAATTATGAGTAAGTATGATAATAAAAATGAATATTTAGTAAACCTAAATACATGTAGAATTCAAAATAATCTACCAGAAAAAAATAAATTACAAAAATAAAAAAAATCCGACTTTGTAAAAAGCGAACTAAAAAGATGCGAAGAAACAAAATATTATACAGTCGGAGACATACAAGTTTATACATATATCTAAATTATTTTTTTATTTACAACTTTTTAGTTTTGGTCAGTTCGACATTTTTATTTAAAATTTTCTTATTATAAATAATTTTTATTAAAAAATAAAAGTTAATTATTATAAATATTGAGTCATTTCAATACTCTTAAAAACCTGTACTTTGATACCCCTACTCGATGGCTCCAGACGTTTTTTTTTTCATGACACTTAAAACCGCCATTATGACTTTCAATGATATCTTTATACCTTATAACACTCGCGCTATCAAGATAAATCTAACGACGTATTAATCATCGAAATCGGTTAATCCGTTTAGTAATTACGAGGGAATATAGGTTCGGACATACATATATCCGCATTAAATACTGAATACATAACTATCCTTCGGGCTTAGCTGCAGTCGAGTAAAAACGCTTGTAAATAAATATTTTTTGATTAATGGTAGGTAATAAAATATACTAATAAAAATGCACTATTTTTTAACATAACAAAGTTCACCGAACTAATTGCATACTAAAAGCCGACTCAACAAATATCTCAGTAAGGCGGCAAATTGATGGGAGTAAGATTGGGCACGCCCACAGTTATCTCTGTATTGAGAGAGCCGCTTATATCCAGGTTCAGCATATTATCAATGAAAAAAAAATGGAAGAATTATTTGTTATTTGTGTAAAACTAGAATCTATCCTGTTAACTTCATAGTTGATGATGATGATTATGAATATAATAATTATAATTATAAATTATTATATTCATAATCATCATCATATATTCCTTTCATCATAATCATGATAAAATTAAAAAGGGCATACTTCTTATACTTACATATCCATATTATTCAAGCTTAATAAAATTCAAGCTACATTTCACTTTCCCTGACTTTTTCTTAAATATGATCACGTATAAATATTATTATACATATAATAGTCATAAAAATCTGAAATTATAATTATTATGACATACGTGAATGATGATGTCATTTTAAACCTTGAGATAAAAATAAAAAAATATTGGAATTTATTGAAAACAAATTATATCATTAGTTCTTATTTTTATTAGCAGTCATGTGGAGTTAGCCAAGATTATTAAGAAATAATATTATACCGAAAAAGGACCAAGTTTCACTTTATTTTTCTAAGAAATTCTGTAGAATTTGCTTCGGCCGCCCGTCAGAAGCGCTAGCGATGCCAACATCTATCTCTCCTTTTAAATGCTGGCGCCAGTATCGGACTGTCCCAATATCGCATGTCTTAATAACCTGATACAGAAAAATAATACAAGAAAATCTTTAAATACCTATAATAGCCGTATGCGGTTTCAAAGCGTCCATCTTAACAAACAAAGGCAATTTTGCCTTGGCAAATCTAAAACATCATTTAGCGGCACTATATCTATGAGAGGTGGTCACTCATTTGTCAGGAAACGAAAAGGTATTCCAGAAAAAATGGAATAAATGTCGGTCTCAATCAGGCAACAGGATGTTCTCACCGATATTATTTGTAGTATGGATTGAGATATTAATTATATGTTTGCTTATCTTTTGTCTTAATTCTTTAAAAGCTATAAATGATATTCAATTCTAAGTATCGATTAATGAATTTATTTCACCTAAGAATGCTTATATAACATTTTCGAGATACGAATATATTGACAGCACAAGAGCATCAATTCTATTTGCATAAAGAATTAAAACAAAATAATAACTATGAAACTAAGCTAATTCAACTTTTGAGTTTAACGATTTGTATAATGCTTTGAAAGATTTAATTATGTATTTTTAAGAAATTTTGTATTTACATATCACTTTGTAACAATATATGAGCGGTACATCAAGTTAATATAAGTTATCATAGTATATTACATAATCGAAGATCTAGCCTACCACAGTCAATATGTCAGCTCGTCTGTAGTTCAGTAAGACGATGCAGCTGCAGCTGCAGCAGTGTAATTGATGATATTTTTGTTTACATTGTTTATAGTTTATACCATACTTTATATAAAGGTATATATTATGCTATGGGCCTCTGTTTACATTTTTAAGATCTTTTTGTAAATATTGCCTGAAATAAATGATTAAATAAAAAAAAATACCTTTGAAATACTTAATAATTACTACTCACAGACATCTTTCCGAAACTCTATATTTCATACAGATTATCAGATACAAGAATGTATACGTAGTATGTACTTTAAGATACTTTACCTATTTCTTTGAAAGTCAAATCGGTTACAAAATTCATCATCCATTATAAATAATCGCGTTATTAGTACAAATACTAAATTTAATATGTTTAAACAACGATAATCAATGTGTTGTGAGAATTTGTATGAAGATGATAATTGTAACTTGAAATATTTCACACTGTCTTGCGGTTTTGCGTGTTTGGTTGACGTAATTTAAAAAATTATAATGTTCGCGGAGTCATTCAACATCGGCGCCTGAGACGGTGTTGTCAAAAATCGGCAGCGCTCTGCGCACGCGCCGCCCTGCCAGGTGTTGTACAGCTTGCGGTTACTTGTAATATTTTATAATCAAACATATTATATACTTAATACTAATTATCTCACTTCTTTTTCTACAATGTAGCTCAGTGAAGCCTAAACGCTTTAAAACCTTAATAATATTCATGCTATAAATTTTCATGTTATATGATTACCGATTTTATGGTTGATTTATGTCAGGGACCCAACTATGTTGCAGTGTTTATAAGTAAGTAATTACATTTATGTACATTACTCTTATGTACGTACTTGGTAGTGGTAGCCCAGTGGTAACGTTCTCGCTTGGGAAACCGAGTGAAGCGGGTTCAAATCCCGGGTCTCGCACCTCTGATATTTTCATGTGCGAATCATTTCTAACATGATTACCACTTGCCTTACGGTGAAGGAAAAACATCGTGAGGAAACCTGCATGTCTGAGAGAACTTAGCAAGTTTTCGAAAGACATGTGAAGTCCGCCAACCCGCACTTGGCCAGCGTGGTGGACTATGGCCTGATCCCCCTCGTATTGAAGGGAGGCCCGTGCCCAGCAGTGGGACGTTAAAAAGGGCTGAATACATACAATACATACACATTACTCTTTAAGCACGAGTAACGTAGGTTCTTGGACATTCGTTAAGTCACAGTACCCTCTGCGACCTTTGGTTTATGACTTGCTAGCATTTACGCACGGCTTCAGGTTCGTATATTTATTTAATCTCAAATCTTAACGTTTTTTGTTAAGATAATATAGTGCGTTTAGACATAAAGCTTTTATTTCCTAAATATCTATGCCGTTAACTTTTTTTCTTATCCTGTTATATAAGACTTCATTTTCATTTGCTGTTTTGCACTACGTGATTTTGCACACAGATAAATATAGAAAAAATATTATTAATAATTATTAATAAAATTAAAAATTACATTAATGGCAGAAAACCAGATTTAATTACTTCTATATTTTTGTATACTTTATGCATTTCTTCATAAATAGATATTTTTCTTCATAAAATTAAAAAACTATCATTCGATAAATAAAAATATAATGAATATGTAATATTTATTTAAGAGACCTTTATTTTAACTTTCAATTTGAACATGACATATTTACTCAAAAATTATGATGAATATGTAAGTACATATAAGCAACCAGAAGATTTATATTGTACCGGTTCTTGTTAACTAATACACTATTAGATTATTAAAATGAAAAACGTTTTAGAATCTTCACTTCATACTATTTATTGTCTATATATACATATATCATGTACAATATGTTTATATCATGATGCTGCCTACAATTGTTATTTGAAAGTCGCAATAGGTAGCATGTAATAAAAAATTAAAATAATAAGATAGTGTCCTTGTTTATAATTTAAAATTATTATAAAAAATTAAAAAGTGTACAGTATGTCGTAATACAGATATTCACATTCAAATTTTTCATTATATTTTTTTTATAAATAAGGTACAAATCAATGTCTCCATATTATGAACTTTTTCTATTACGCTAGAATGTAGAATAATATTGATTACAAATGAGATCGTCAGTACATAACTTGTATAAGTGTAAGAGCGATCGCCTATGTAGTCGCCGTAGTTATCGGACAAATCAGATTTCAATTGTAGCTGTACAGCGAAGTGGCGTGCGTCAATCAGGGCATCAGGGCGTACCGAGTGTCGGCACGGAGTATCGGCGTCCAGTGCATGGTAGCAGTTTGGCAGAGGAGCTAGAGCGGGCCGCGGCTCGGCGCCCCTGCCACGTGGGTGGGCGCCTTGTGTGGCCGCGCGCTGGGTGGCCCGCTCACACACACACCGCCACCACACACACCAACACATGCCCCGCGCAAATAAACACAATAATCAACTAACGATACTTTACTCCGTCACCGGATAGAGTAATCGCTCGGGGATGTTATTGCAGGAATCGCACCGAGTGACACGCGCGGCGCTGCGTCCTACCTCACCAAATCTACCGCACGAATTACCGCACTTACGTTTACGATTGCTGCTAATTTTCTCACGTGATTACCATGTTAAATCGATTGCAGGGCGACGTATGCCTTTTATTACCACCCATAAAAGGTACTGTTTCGAGTGCATATGAGAGGGGCTACTTGGAAAATGTTACGACTCCGTGTACAATTCTAAGATAAACCTCAATCCAGGCCATACAGTAGCTTTGTAAAGGAAAAATAATTGACATTATATATTATACTACAATGTATTCCTCAAGCGTTCTTTCTAAGAACCTATATGTATATTTATGTATATTTATTGTTAGCGTGATCTGAACTGAGATTGTAGATGTTATTTGAATCGTTATTTAAATCATTGTTAACTGACATCGATCAAAAACTAACTTTAATCTTATAAAAATTTTAAACAAGCATTATTATTATACTTACTCGTATTATATGTATATTTTAATAACATACATTATATATATTAAATAAGTGACACAGAAATCAAATCACTACTACAATATTACAATAATTCGTTATGTGATAAATATTTGCTCTATCAGTTGATATCATTATGTTTTAATATATTTACTTTAATTTGTAAAAGTTCTTATTTATAAGTATTAGAAATTAACGTAATAAAATAACAAAAAACAGTTTAAACAATTCGTTGATACTTAAGTTTATAAATGCTAACGTATACCTACTGACTTTCTCTTAGCAGTTTATGAAGAAATAAATATTAAGTGATTATTTGTGAGCAGATCGAGTAACAACAATAACAGGCTAGTAGTGATTTTAGCCAAATATTTTATTTTTTATGATTGCTTTCCTCATAAATAATGTAAATATTATTTATTTAAGATTCAATGTTATCCTGTGACGTTGTTAGATCCATATTCTATATACATATTGGTTAAATTAAAAAATACTTTGTAAAAGTCAGTTTATATTTATGACCCAAATTCTTGACATATTTAACTCGCCTAGATTATAAAAAGGTAAATTACTATTAAGTAATATACCTTTATGTAACGTAAGATTGCACCGTGCTATATCCGCACAGGCTTATTAGTCGAGATGTTCAACAGGCAATGAAAGTTTAAGATGGCATGGCATTGTTCGATACGTTTTGTTTATAAATTGTTAAACAGGAAGGTAAGTAAAACATTAAAAACAATGTTAGTGCTCCAATAAAATTGAGTAGTTCATTATTAACGTTTCATATCTATACTATAATAAGACTGTATAGTGTAGAGGTCAAATGTCTGTACATAGAAAAAAATGCTAAAGACCGAACAAAATGCGACTCAGGGGGGTGTAAGAAGAGAAATAGAACAAATCCAGTTTTGTTTTTCATTTTTTTGTTTCTCTGTCTGTTTGTTTGTACGGGCTAATCTCCGAATCTATTGGACCGATTTAAATGAAATTTTGCATGGTGGTACCTTATATCTCCGGGCAATATCTTAGATACTATTCATCCGAGAAAATTAAAGAGTTCCCGTGGGATAGTTAAAAAAGTATAGTAACTTGTACAGCTTAGTACATAAAAACTACTAATTGGATTTTAATGAAACTTTACAATAATATCATTCATACATCACAATATCAAGTAGGCTACTTTTTATCCCGGAAAAATGTACGGTTCCGTGGGATAGATCTGTTTGTACTTTTCTAGAGGCGAACCCGAGTAAAAGAGGCCGCTAGTTACATAATATGTTCGCTGAAACTCAACCATTTTTAACCTTCATTGAAATAAAAAAAAACATTACCTGAATTTACTAACATAATTAAAATAAAATATGTAACACAAAAACATTTTGTCAAAATAAAACCATAATTATTACATTTTAAATATCTTATAAAAATGACACTGGCAACACATTATAAAATGAATTTTGGTTGAATTAATATTATTGCATTCTTAAAGCACATTAGGAATATTTAATTAGCTATTAAGGCCAATTAAAATGCCATGTAGACAAATCAACGTCACAAATGTAATGATAGACCACCTGCACCATACTTACAGAACTAATAATTTAGAGTTTGAAAAACAGACGCTCATAAAAACAATTAGGTTTGACCGCTTTCCCATAAAAGAGAGTAACACAACCAATCTTAGAGCAATTAAGGATTCTAATGGCAGGAAAGGATAGTAAGGTACGTGAGCGGCCATTACCAAGGGTGGTATCGTCATAATATTTATTCTATGAACATAGTTCGTAGCACACGTGGAAAATGGACTCTCTTCTATACATATAATAAAATTGTAACTAAGTCGAATCCATACATTAAAGATTTTTTGGAAAATCTAATTGAAATAGACATTATTATCGATACAGAGTGCGAATCTATAGTTTTTAGAATTTTTGTCTGTCTGTCTGTCACAGCATCACGAGAAAACCACTGGACAGATTTTGATGATATTTGGTATGATGATAGCTGGTTATCCGGGTCATCATATAGGATACTTTTTAAAAAATATCTCATTTCTGAGAAAAAATACAAAAACTGCATTGTAAGAGTATACTAATATGTAAAACCTAAGCTAACCTAATTTGGTTTTTGGTCATCTGAACGCGGGCGGAGCATGTTTATTATATTTCAATTGACAATTAATTTTGTTCGTACTGTTATAAAATTAGACATTTGACAATGCTGTTAGCTAATATCATTTTAATTAAATTTCACCTTTACCTACATTAATAAGTTTCCAAATAGCTTTTAGCAGTTAATTCATTTATTGCTATAGAGAATTTAAGTCAAAACAATTGTTAAACCGCCAGTAATAAATTACTTTTACAACGGTAATAAATTCAAAGGTCTTAATAGGAAATTCTCAATTTTAAATTTGTCGCAAAAACATAAAAATATTTAGTGTCTGATAATCGTGAGGACATAAAACAAATATATTATGTCACTTTTACGACGCCGACTGATTTGTTCAACTAAAGTAATTTTCTTATAATTTACTAAAGTAATTTTCTTTAGGTATTTGATTACTTTAAAATTACCATATTTAAATTAAAATCCATAACTGAAGCATAGATTGATTACCTTTTAAGTTAACCATATTTTAACATTGAAAATTAAAATTAAAATTATCTTTTCGGATTTTTTCGCGAATTTATTTTGAACTTTGGTCCCAGACGTTTCGAATGCTTTACATCAATCATGGTCACTGGAGAGACCGTCACACACGACCAATAATCAAAATAAATTCGCGAAAAAATCCGAAAAGATAGTTTTATTTTAAATGTCAAGTACTCGCGTAAACTAAGACAGTATTATTGAAAATGTTTTTATTTTGTCGCTTCAGTATATTCACGATTTACAGCGAAAGTGCGACATCGTCCCGTCGTCATGGATTTTGGAACTACGTGGTTGATTGTGATGTGCGTCTGAATGAGGGCTACAAAATGCAAAAAAAAATTGTAAACACTCAAAGGATTTTTTTTAAATCGAAAAAATGTGAAAAATGCGGTCGCTTTTCGCTCGGTTTCAGTCAGAAAAAAAATCATATCTCGAAATGAAATAAGATATCGAAAAAATAAAAAAAAGCCCCTAGAGATATAACTTCGGACTACATTTAAAAAAATATTGGAGGTGCATATCACTGATGGGTTATTCAGAAGTTGTACGAGTACCTTTTTGACGCTGAGTTTACGCGGAAGTAAGGAGTTTACGCGAGGAGTAAGGAGTTAACTGTCAGTAAGTATAACTGTCAGTTTCTTTAACTGCCAGTTAGGTTGACTGTCAGTTTGAAAAACGGCTAGTAAGATTAACTGTCAGTTAATTTTACTGTCAGTTTGTTTAACTGTTAGTTAGTTTGACTGTCAGTAAGTTTAACTGTTAGTTTTATTAACGGCTAGTAAGTTTAACTGTCAGCTTATTTAACTGCCAGTAAGTCAAACAGTCAGTTAGCTTGAGTGTAAGTTTAACTGTCAGTTAGATTAACTGTCAGTTAGCTTAACTGTCAGTTAGGTTGACTGTCAGTTTGATTAACGGCAAGTATGATTAACTGTCAGTTAAATTAGCAGTAAGTTAGATTATCGCCCAGTTAGCTTAACTGATAGTTTCCTTAATTACCAGTAAGTTTAACTGTTAGTTTCATTAACTGTCAGTTTTATAAACGGCTAGTAAGTTTAACTGTCAGTTAATTTAATTGTCGGTTAGCTCAACCTCCAGTTAGTTTAACTGTCAGTTAGTATAACCTCCAGTAAGTTTAACTTTTATTTTGATCAACTGCCAGTTAAAATAACTGTTAGTTAGATAAACTGCTAGTTTGTTTAACTGTTAGGTTGATTAACTGCTAGCTAGTTTAACAGGCGTGTCTTCTTCGAATTTTTTTTTCGCCTTTGTTCTGTGTTTCTTTTAATGTCTCTTCTCTTCTCTTTCATACATCAAATTATATATTAGTTACTAGCGGCTCACCCTCGCTTCGCTCGGGGTTCTAGACAAACAAAAACAAATCTATCCCACGGGAACCGTACATTTTTCCGGGATAAAAAGTAGCTTATTCGTTATTCTGATGTATGAACATTAGTTCATTTTAATGAAACTGTATTAACAGTTTCATTAAAATCCAATCAGTAGTTTTTTTGTACTAAGCTGTATAAGTTACTATAGATTTTTAACTATCCCACGGGAACTCTTTAATTTTCCGAGATGAAAAGTATCTAGAATGTTGATCGGGGATATAAGGTACCACGCAAAATTTCATTTAAATCGGTCCAACAGTTTCAAAGATAGCCCATACAAACAGAGAAACAGACAGAGAAACAAAAAAATTGAAAACAATCTGGATTTGTTCTATTTCTCTTCGTACATCCCCTTGACTCGGTTATTAGCATATTTTTTCTATGTACAGAC